ATAGGAAGAATGGGAAAGCCATAGGAAGAGAGAGAGATCTGTTTGTATTGGGGACAAATAAAATGGGGAAATATTCATCCTTTTGCATTTGTCACAGTCTCTGGAACTGACGAATAGGAAGGGACAAATATTTAATTGAATCAGTGATTTTTCACTAATATTGCAATCCTTTTTTTTAAATTCGTCCCCATGTCTACTTAGAGCCACTTCCCATTATTTTCTTGAAATCATGGGAAATGGGTGAAGTGCCAAATGACTGGAGGAGGGCTAATATTGTCCCTATCTGCAAAAAGGGCAAAAGGGAGGAACCTGGGAACTATAGATCATTCAGCCGAACATCAATCCAGGGAAAATTCTGGAACATATTATAAAGTGGTCACTGTGCAAGCAACCTAGAAAATAAAGCAATAATAACTAGAAGCCAACAGATTTGTCAAGAGCAAATCCAGCCAGACTAACCTGATCTAATTTTTTTGTCAGGTAACCTCCCTGATAGACAGAATAAATAATGTAGACATAGTATATCTTAATTTCAGCAAAGCTTTTGACAGAGGGCCCCATAATGCTCTGATTAGCAAGCTAACTAGGTATGGGCTGGATAGAACAACTGTCAGGTGTGTGTTGAATACAGTGGTGCCCCACATTACAACGACCCCGCTTGACGACGATTTTTTTGCGATCGCTCTAGCGATCGCAAAACAATGGTTCCAATGGGGCTTTTCCGCTGTACGACAATCAGGTCCCTGCTTTGGAAACCGATTGTTTCCTAGACCAGTGGTCCCCAATGTTTTTGGAACCACAGACCATTTGGGGGGTACTGGCTTCGTGCGTGGACCAGTGGGGGGCGGGGCACCCCTGTACTCACAGGTGGGCATGTCACGCTCGCAGGCCCACTGCTGCCTTCTCCCCCGCCAAAACACACACACACATGCACACACACGCACACATACACACACACACCCCTTTGGCGTGGGGGGTTGTTGCTGCAAAGGTGATCGGCCGCAGGAAGAAGTCATTGTCTCCCTCCCTCTCCTTCTGCCTTGTCTATTTTCCACCAGCTGGGGTGGCCGGTGTTGCCACCCCGCTTTGCAGAGCTGATCGGGGCGGTGTGGTAGAGGATTGAGTGGAGCGGCTGTACCCCCAGATCTCCTCACTCCCTGTCAGTCTCCCACAGAGGGGTTTCTTTCTCCCCCCAGTCCCTGACACAACCCCATGGCACGCCACTCCATCGCCCTGTGAGGAAAGGGGTCCACCTCATGACAGGCAAAGAGGAGCTGCCTCAGTCCCCTCTTTTGTCTTCCTTCTGACTCCACCTGCCGACCTGTGGCTTCCCGCCCCAAGTCCCAAGTAATGCTTGTGCATATCTGTTAACTGAATTGGCTTCAAAGTACAGTGAACATTGTTCCAGATTCTTTTTGCCCCAAGAGGACACAAAGCAAAAACTGCATGCCTAGTGGTGTTTTGTTTTGACCCCTCCTCCTAGAAGTAGTTTTCAGAAACAAACAGGCTGTATTTACTTGGGATAGGAAGAAAAGGCCCAATGAAACTAAATGGTCACCTCTATACTGTACTTATAGATCAGGAGGTTGAAGAGTTCATTATGGTTAGCAACTGGGCTATCTCAACTATGAGCTGAAAAATAAGGGTATATAGCTCTTTTGTATGCAGGCTAGACTGTGACATGAAGTCTGTGAAGAGTCTGTATTGCTGTTTTTGACCTACTGTATGTCAATTCCTATTGCCTGTGTGATCACAGATAGGCCAAGTGTATCTATGAAGGGATTGAACATGATGGATATTTGGCTGCAGTGTATAAAGATACAGTCCAAATGCCAGTCACATAGCTTCTACAAGATTTTAATTTATAGTACGTTTCAGTGACCAAAATCATGTTGCTTAGCATAGCAAGTCATATTGAATCAATGGGGATTTAGTAAAGCACCTTCTCTGTAAGTTTCATTGATTCAAATAGGCTTACTCTTAATGTGACATGCTGTGCTAAAGTAAGTTACAGTTTGAGGAGGCCTATTTGAATCAGTGGATTGTATGGAGGAGGTGGCTCATCAAATCCCCACTAATTCAGTGGGCCTATTTCAGTGCAATTTACTACAGTAATCAACGGGATTTTAGCCACTATCATTATGTCAAGCGTAGCCAACTGGATTATCATCAGTAAGTTTGTTCACTGTGATTTTGGTGACTTTGGTGAGCTATCCGAAGGCTCATCTAATCAGAAGGATTTTAGTGCAAGCCACTTCCATTGTAAGAGACAAATCTGGTGTTGTCTGTGAAAATAAACTTGGAATAGCATTTAGTGTATTTTGTTCCACCTGCTCCATTACTGCCTGGAAAGGGCTCATTGTATATACTATAATTTATTTTCCATGTTTGTAAGAAGTGTGGAATGGGGATTAGAATCTATTTGAAAATGACAAATCTGTGCTTTTGTTTATTCCTTTTCCTGCAGAGAGTGATAATGAACTCTCAAGTGGAACTGGTGATGTATCAAAGGACTGTCCAGAGACGATTTTGTATTCTTGGGGAGAATTACTGGGGCGATGGTAAGACAGTTTAGGACATACGCATTTGCACTTTAGAAGAGAGTCTGAAATGTAATTAAAGCATACACTGAAAATCATATGAGAAGTATTTAGGCCATGAGTTACATGTAGCATCTATCTTCTGTGGCACTATGGCACTTTCCTGGTAGCCTAGTTTTAATTAAAGCATGGTTTAAATAAAACAACACTTCTAATTCTTATAAGTGGAGAAGAAGATTTAAAGGTGGTAGATGTTTTTAAAAACTTCAAGACTACAATCAGACCTTGAGCTTTAGCTCCCCTTCCTCAAAAGAAAAGGTAGAAAGCAGATTGTGGTGCTTTGCATTCTCAACACAGTGGCGAACTGGCATTGGCAATGGCCCTTGGTTGTCACCCATATGGATGGGGTCTGCATAGTTTTACAAATGGCTAGACACTGCTCCATAGCCAGCATACTGTAGGTTTCATGCGAATGTTGTTTGACTTTGATGGGTCACATTCAGCAGTAATCTCTTTTCATTGATCGATCCCGTATTGTACTAGGATCCATTAAATTACTGGGTTTCTGAAGAAGAAGACTATGTGTTTAGAATGTTTGTGCAATTGAATATGAATAGCAAAAGAAAGGAACTTATGCAAACTAAAATAAACTTAACTCTAAACTTGATTCCCTCCACTCTAAATCTGGTGTTATTGAATGCCAGATCTCTATCCAGCAAATCCCAAATTATTCAAGATCTTATTCTGGAGGAGGATGCAGATCTGGAATAAATAACCAAAACTTGGAGCTGGCGCTGGTGGCGCATCTGGAGTGGGGTCTTGAGGCATCTCCATGCCTGGGATTCCCCCTTCTGCTGCCACTTCCGGTTCTGCCACTTCCGGTCCCGCCACTGTGGCATGCTGCCCGCTGGGTTTTTTCCCTGCAATTCAGGCACATGAGCTCAAAAAGGTTCGCCACCACTGCTCCAGAGGTTGTTAAGCACTCTGTTAAGCACACCAGGTCTTGTCAATGGGGCCAGGGATTGTATTGGGATCTTCCTAGGTTACCGAGCTCCCTGCGACCCAGCCATTTCCTTACCGGAGCTGGCAGACTTCATCTCAGCAACACTGTTGTAATCGCTGAGGCTTCTGGTCTTGGGTGATTTCAACATCTATGCGGAGGCAGAGGTTTCTGGTCTGGCTCTTGAGTTCTTGGAAACCATGACTTCCTTGGACATGTCCCAACATGTCAACGGCCCCACCCACGTGGGCGGTCACACGTTAGACCTGGTGTTTTCCACCGAGCGGAGTGAGTGTGGTCCAATGGTGACTGACCTTATGCCAGTCCCCTTGTCATGGTCGGATCACTGCTTAATTAAATGCAACCTCTCAGTGGCTCTCCCTTCCCACAGGGAGCAAAGACCTATTTTAAAAGTCCGCCCTCAAAGGTTACTTGATCCTTTATGATTCCAGGATGCCACGAGAGGGATTCCAGCTGATCTGACTAACACTCCTGTTAAGGCTCTGGTTGATGGTTTGCCACTGCTGCCAGGGCTGTTGACACGATTGTTCCTAAATGCTCTCTCCATTGCAGAGGTTGTCCAGCGCCCTGGTTTAACCAGCAGCTGCGAGCTATGAGGGAAAATAAGAGAACGCTAGAGTGCAATTGGAGATGGAACCCGATGGAATATAATCAGAAAACTGTTAGGATCGTGACTAACCATTACCTTGCTAAGGTGAGGGCTGCCAGTCAAGCTCACTTCGCTGTCTTGATAAGCGAAGCTTTTAATCGGCAGGCAGAACTTTTCTGTAAGTCTACAATCTATCTGGAGTTGGTCAAAGTGATTGGCTTGCCACTAGCATTTCACCTGACCAGTTTGCAGCATTTTAAAAATCTAAAGTGGAGGCCATCTACTGGGATCTTATCCCATATTTGAAAACAGTAGATCGAGCAGAGACGTCCAGCGCTCCGCCTTGCCTGATAAGATGTAATAATTTTCTGCCTCTGATGCCAGATATGGTGGACAAACTGCTTGGTCGCTGTCGGGCCACCACCTCCTCCCTTGACCCTTGTCCAGACTGGCTAATTAAAGCAGCCAGGCCTGTAACAACTGAATGGGCCACTGCAATAATTAATGGGTCTCTCCAGGAGGGCAAGTTTCCCCTTGCCCTCATGTAGACACTTACTAGGCCCATCAGGAAGAAATCAAGTTTGGCGGTGGAAGACATGTGCAACTATAGGCCTGTCGCCAGTGTTTCCTTCCTTAGCAAAGTGGTAGAGAGAGTGGTGGCTGATCAGCTACAGGTCCTTTTGGATGAAACCAGTGCCCTGGATCCATTCCAGTCAGGCTTCAGGCCTCCCCACAGCACGGAAACAGTAGTGGTCTCCCTGTTGGATGACCTGTTGAGGGAGGCCAACAGGGGCAAAATGTCTCTGCTGGTCTTCTTCAATATCTCAACCGCTTTTGATAGGAATTGGTGGTCTAGCACGTGCCTGGCTCCGATCCTTCTTGGAGAACCATCCTGAGTACAGCTTAGGGAGAGTGTATTGGCCCTGTGGAGTCTCAATTGTGGGGTTCCACAGGGCTTGATTATCTCCTCAATGCTGTTTAATATCTACATGAGGCCGCTGGGAGGAGTCATTAGGGGGTGTGGGGCTTTGTGTCATCAGTGTGCTGATGACACCCAGCTCTACATCTCTTTTTTCCCCAACTACAGTGGATGCCGTTCTGTCCCTTCAGCGCTGCCTGGAGGCTGTATTGCAATGGATGCAGGAGAATAGATTGAGGGTGAACCCAGAAAAAATTGAGGTCCTGAGCTTGGGTGGCCCCTCCATTGGTTGTTTGGGAAATTCCCTCTCTTTTGGGGGAGTGACTCTCACCGCGAAGAGAGAGGATCGCAGGAAACTCCCTCTCTTTTGGGGGAGTGACCTTCACCGCAAAGAATGAGGTTCGCAGCTTGGGGGTCCATCTCGATCTGGCACTCACCATGGAAACCCAGGTAGCGTCAGTGGTCTGCTCCACTTATTTCCATCTCTGGTGGATTGCCCAGCTGCATCCCTATCTTGATGTTGGGGCGCTCACCATTCTGGTCCATGCACTTGTAATCTTGAGATTAGACTGCTGTAATGTGCTCTACGTGGGGCTCCCTTTGAGATTGATGTGGAAGCTTCAAATAGTGCATACTTCGGCAGCCAGACTTCTCACTGGGGTGAGAAAATAATCAGCATATTTTCCCCACTATGGCTGCCCTACATTGGCTGCCCATTCATTTCTGCATTGATTTCAAAGTGTTAACGATGACATAAAAATCTGTGAGCGGCCCCAGCTGCTGTATCCATGACGAGGCAGCAGGTGATCAGTTAAGCTTTATTGGACTCAGCATATAAAGGAAAGGAAAGAAAGGAAAAACAGTGTCTCTGTAGTCCTTTGCAGGATAAGGCCTCTAGCCCCAAGCAGCAGGGATGGAATTGGTAGCAAAACATTCATAGGAGCATGTGATGAAAACATACACAACTACCAAGAGAAATTAATATTCGGGAAGTGGTAATGGGGCTGTGCCTCTGATACATCTTCTATTTTAATGTCTTTCTGCTCATTGTTTAAAATTTCAGTTATGAATTTTGAACAGACTCAGAAATGAAACATCTTGGTAAAGGATTTTTAGTTGCTGGGGGATCTTTCTTTTAAGGTAGAATAACTAGAAATCAAAGAGACCAATTTAAAAGGTGTCCTAACATTAAATCTGTGTTATAAAAGAAAATGTCTCTTTTTAAACAGAAAAAGATGAGGTAGAAGGTTGTTCTTTTTGAACAAAATGAAAGGTATCTTCCCTGTGATTTAACTAATTAATTACTGTTTGCAATTCTAGCAGTAGCAAAAGAAAAATCTGTAAGAGCTAAATCATATGTTTATCTGAATGATATACATATTTTCAATGGGGTATAGCAAAATGGAAAGATGATATCCAGTCACAAAGCTGCCAACCTTACACCTTCTGTGTAGTGTCAATTATGGAGTTTGGTAGAAATACATGGGAGGGAAAAAAAATAAGAAATTTAAATGGGGATCATGAAAAATGTAAAAAGCACGTAATTGGCGTTCAAAATGTATTGTACTGTCCAAATATGGTGCTTCGAAATTACATAACCTAGCAAATAGTACTCCAAAGGTGGAGACTGCTGTAGAGCCCAGCTAACTAGGAGATTGCTATCCCAGCTCATCACTAGGATAGAGGTAAGTGCATGTTGCCATCTTGTTACCCACAGGAAAGCTAAAGTCCCACATCACATGGTTTTGGCTAAAGCAAAACATCAAAAATATATAAATAGAAATTTCTATCATGTTTGTGGAACATATCTTAAAAGGATACAGGAACCTGTTTTTACCAATGGGGGAGAAATCTCTGCTTGGAGTGGGTGAAAATGTTTCTAATTCGGTGTGAATTATTTACTATGCTTATGCCATGCTCAGCTTTGTTTCTATAAATAATATGTGTTGCAATAGAAATTTTAAAGTGACATATGACAGTTTATGTATTTCATTTTTACTAAGAAAATAAAAAATAGCTTTTTACTTTTTATTGTATCCTTTGAATTATTAAACTGAAGTTTTATGCTATTTATGCGTTTTGAACAGGAATTCATACTTTAGTTCATACTTTAATAAAACCTATATTTTTATAGAAGAAATACTATCTACATATATGAACTAGAGAGTTTTGTATTAAGAGACTAAATTTTGAAGTGTATGATTATTTAGTTTTGCACTTTATACTTTTATATATTCCAAATTCATTTTACATTTTTTGCTTTTATTTATGTAATTGTGTGCTTGCTAAATCAATCTTTTAAAGAAAAGGATTCAGTTTTGAATTTGTAAGCAAAGGTTCTGAAGGGTATCCAGGAAGGAAGAATTGAATAAATATATCAAGATACAGTATCTTCTATGACCCCAATTAAATTCCTTGTCAGATGTGTATAAGACACAAATCTATAAGTCTGTCATAGTGAACCTGTAGATCAGGGGCACCATGATTCAGATATTCCTATGTGGAATCTGACAGTAGTCTATTGCTTCTCAATAGTTGAGTTATAGTTTAAACATGTATCACATGTCTTTGCTATAAGACAAGCACATATGAGCTCTTCCATAAATTATATGCAATCTTTATATAAAATAATGTGCGCAAAAATATGGAAAATACATACAAAAGTAAAGTCAGTTTCCCATTGCCTAATGTTTGCATCACAGGGAAGTTAAAGGAAGCTCATTGCTGAACTTTTTGTAATGGATCCCTTTTACTACTGTTTTTCAGAAGACTATGGAGGACTAAGAGTCAGCTAAAATTGCTTCATTTATGTGGGAGAGGAAAGAGCAAGAGAAGGAGAATTAGAGAAGGCAGAGATCTGGGAGTAGGGCTTCAGTTCTCCCTAAAGATCTCGTACCTTTTTTCCATAGTTTTAGTACTGCTCATTTTTATGTAAATTCTTAGCGTCCTACTAAAGGGATACATGTGCGGTAATCGGGCATGCCACCTGATATCAGAATGTTTCCTTAAACAGAATCCATTCCTGACTGCCTTTTGCCACAAGAATGAATGAGATATTTATGTAAACCTAGTTTTCCTGTTTCATGGTAGAAGATGGTTCTTAACTCGTTTTTATATAGGGCAAGGCTGGGGAACCTGTGCCTCCCTGGATGTTGATGAACTGTTGCTCTCTGGCAGGAAGTGATAGGAAGGAGATTATGATAACTGGAATCCAACATCATCTGGAAGTCCTCAGATGTCATTGCTCTGCTATAGAGGTTGTATATATAGTTGTTTACAGTCATATCACTCAAGTTCAAGAGCTGCCCGTCTTTTTGCTAGGCACAATAACCTTGGTGTGCGGCCAAAAGGACTTTCTTCACTGGTGAAGAGGGGCATTCCAGAGGCCTTAAGAGCTGAGGTCTGGCAGTTGCTGTCAGGTTGCCATGATAACCAGGCACTGCTGGATAAATACAGAATTCTCATCACAAAGGTCAGTTTCTCTTTTAGTTTTCTTTACCCAGAATATAGCAACATTTTAACATAGCAGTTTTGTATTTGAAATAATAAAACTATAGTTCTGTTTATATAGATTAATGGCATTAGTTCTTAAACAATTGAAGTTGCAAATGAAATATTTTGCTGCCTGCTCACTGATTTGGAATGAGTGACTGGATAGTGGTACTGTATAACATTTCGTGTTTTGTAACAGTACTAAAATCTTTCCACCTTGATACTGATGTACTGTATAGGTTTAAAGGTACTTATTTTTTGTAACTTCACTGCCAGAGGCCCATATGCCAATCTTTTAATTTGTTAAGACATTTGGTACTGCTGGTCTTTGTTTTAGGTCAGCAGTCATTCACTTGTCAAGAGGTGACATTTATCTTGAATTCTAGTTTGTAGCATGGGTCTCACTTCGAAGAGATCAGGAATTGGAGGCCATGGAGAAGGTTTTGTCCTTTCGTGTGTGTATCCTATGTAATTGTAAGCACTCCCAATCACATAGCTTCCATGTGCCCCATTTTCTTTTTGTGTCTCTCTCTTCCTAACTATCCTATGAGTGTTTCTTTGTTTTAAAGAACAAACTTAAGAATATCTATGTTTAGATTTGTATCATGCCATGTGGTTGTGCATTTGTACGCACAAGCATGCACCTGTGTGCAAACCTGGGTTCTCACTATTTTCTTGGTACAATAATGCTTGCTGGTGAATTTGAGCTGCCTTGGAGTTTTTGATCAAAAAAGGGTTTGGGATTCAAGCAAGACAAATAATCCAAGGTACATAGGATTTACGTTGCAGTGACATAGCCAAAAAAATACTTTGAGATTATATTAGTAGATTATTTGGTTTGCAATACATTTTAGACTTGAAGACATGAACTCAGTTATGTAAGGCAAACTAACAAATAATAGAATCATAGAATCATAGAATATTGAGTTGGAAGACATCATTGAATCCAAGCTGCTCAGTGCAGGAATCCAAATAAAAGTATATTATTCATAAAATCAGTATAATTTTATCTTGAATGCCTCCAGTGTTGAAGTACTTACTACCTCCTGAGGTAATTGATTCTGTTGTCATACTTCTCTAACAATTAAGATTTTCCCCCCTAACATTCAACAGAAATCTGGCTTCCTGTAATCACGTGTCCTGCACTTCTGGAATGATTGAGAACAGATCATGGCCCTCCTTTCTATGACATTCTTTCAAGTATTTGAAAAGGGCTATCATATCTCCCCTCAGTTGTCTTTTCTCAAGGCTAAACATGCCCAATACTTTCAATCTTTCCCCATAATTATTTCAGTCTTTTTACAGTCTGCATCCTCCTTTAAGTATGGTGTTTAGATGAGACTTAACCAGTGTTGAATGAAGGGGGACTAGTACTTTATGGGATTTGGAGACTATACTTCTGTTAATGCAGTCTATAATAGCATTTCCTTTTTTGCAGCTGCATCCCCCCACTCTGACAGCCTTGCATTGGCTACCTGTTTGTTTCCACATTGATTTCAAAGTGTTAATGATGACATATAAAGCCCTAAACAGGTTAGGACTTCGATATCTAGTGGTACACCTCCTCCCACCTAGATCTACCTGAATCACTCGTTATAGCCAGGAAGGGTGGCTGAGGGGCTAACGCCAAGGGAGGCCTGGAGAGAAAGAACAAGAAACCGGGCCTTCTCGGCAGTGGCCCCTCACCTCTGGAACAGTCTGCCCTCAGAGATCTATCTGGCTTCCTCGCTAGGTGTTCTTAGGAGCCATCTTAAGACCTGGCTCTTTAGGCAGGCTTTCCCTCCTCTCATCACTTGATTATTTTTATTTTCCCCCATCTTGAACCATATTACTGTTGTTGCTTTTAATTTTATTATACTGTTTTTATTCCATTTTTATTGTTAGCCGTCCAGAGTAGACTTGTGTCTAGATGGGTGGGGTATACATTTTAGAAACAAACAAATGAGCAAGCAAACAAACAAACAAACAAATAAATGGTCATGTTACCTCATATTCAGCTTGTGGTCAACAATAATTTCAGGATCCTTTTCAGTTCCGGTATTTCTGAGCTAAGTATTCCCCACCTTGTAACTGTGTGTTTGATTTCTTCTTCCTAGGTGTAGAACTTTGCACTTATCTCTGTTGAATTTCATTCTGTTGTTTTCAGCCCAGTGCTCAAACCTATCAAGATCTTTATGAATTTTGTTCCTGTCTTCAAAGGTGTTAGCTATTCCACCCAATTTTGTGTCATCCACAAGGTTTCCCTACACACCCTCATCCAAGTCATTAATAAAAATGTTGAAGACTACCAGGTCCAGGAATGAGCTTTGGAATACCCCACTTGTTACCTCCTCCCAGTTTGATAAGGAGCCATTGATAAGAGCTCTCTGAGTATGATTCTGTAACCAGCTGTGTATCCACCTGACAGTTGTTCTATCCAGCCCACACCTAGTCAGCTTGCTAATCAGAATATCATGGGGCACTTCATAAAAGGCTATGCTGAAGTCAAGGTATGTTATGTATACAGCATTGCCACCATGTGCCAGAGGGGTTATCCAATCAAAACATGACATAAGATTAGTTTGGCAGGATTTGTTCTTGACGCTTCTAGTTATTACTGCAGTGTTTTAAGATGCTTGCTGAGTGACCACTTTATAATCTGCTCCCGAATTTTCCCTGAGATTGCTGTTCTTTCACAAGTAGGTAAAGATTGTTCTCTTCTGGCAGGCTTTCTCTTGGTGACTGATTGTTTAAAAGGGGGTTCTTATAATGAGGATGTTAAGTTTTTGTTGTTTTAATGTGCTTCTAGAACAATTGTTGCCTACCAGTTTTAATATGCCAGTTTAATTCTTTTAAAAAACTATTAATTTATTGGGGTTTTTTTGGCTTTTTTCTTTTTGTTTTAATATTTGTGAGCCATCTTGGGTCTTTTTGATGAGAAGGATAGGATAAATATTTTGAGTAAACAAATAAATAAATACTAAATGAAATGAAAATAAGAGAGTTATCTGAAGGACTTGGACTGAGGAGACTTCCGTTTGGATTGTTGTTGTTGTTGTTGTTGTTGTTCAGACTGACAAAAATAAAGTAAAAGAGAAGATAGAAACAGTATACTGAAGACCTATCTACAATAGATGCATTGTATATAGGTCTTCATTATTCTGAAGTATACATTTCTTTGAAGAACCTTCAGTTTGAGTAAGAGAAGTGAAAGCTACCCTCAAAGCAGTTAGAAGGGGAAAAAAACCCAGAAATAGATGGGATGACAGTAGAACTCCTTGAAATCACAAAGATTTAATCTGTCAAAATCCTAGCAAAAATATGTTACCAAATATGGAAGGTAAAACAATGACTGGCAGACTAGAAATATTCAATATACATTCCAGTTCCCAGGAAAGACACCAAGGAGTACAGTAACTATAGGACTGTTCCATTAATTTCCATGCAAGCAACATGATGTTCAAAGTGTTGCAACAAATAATTTTACCTACATTGAATTACTAATGCTTCAGATTTAGGCTGGATTCCAAGAAGGAATATGCAGTAGGGATCATATTGCAAGCATACATTGACTACTGAAATGTACCAAAGAATTTGAAAAGAAGATCAGTTCATGAGAAGCTCTGGACTGTTCTGAAAGAAATGGGTGTCACTCAGCGCTTCATTGTCCTGATGTGTAACCTATATTATGGACAAAAAAGAATGGTTATAGAAAGAATGGTTTCCCATTGGCAAAGGTGTCTGACAAAGTTGTATTTTATCTCTATCTGTTCAGTCTGTATGCAGCTCCTGCCAACCTAGCAGTTCAAAAGCATGCAAAAATGCAAGTAGATAAATAGGTACCACCTCGGTGGGAAGGTAACGGCGTTCCATGTCTAGTCGTGCTGGCCTCGTGACCACAGAAATTGCCTTCGGACAAATGCTGGCTCTATGGCTTGGAAACGGGGATGAACACCACACCCTAGAGTCGGACATGACTGGACTAAATGTCAAGGGGAACCTTTACCTTTACCTAAACTGCCCATAGAGTGTGTGCACTATGGGACAATATACTCACTGAAATAATAAATTAAATTGACAGATCACAGGTCCTATATTATTCAGTGCTTGGGAATCACAGAAAGATCTTTAACCCAGCAAATGACCTTTATAATTTAGAACTTATGCGATACCAGAGAGAAGATACCCTTATGACCAGTGTTTTTAACCTAGCCAATCCGTTATGGTGGAAATTGGGGAACATGTCCTGTTGTACAGTACAATCTTCTTATTTTTTCAAATTTTAAAACATTAGATCTAGGTCTGTCTAATGAATTTTTATACCTCCTTTCTCCTCTCTGATTCACATGAAATTAAGCTAAGGTTGCAAAATTATGTGCAGTGGCTTGTGCAATTAGCAAACCGATGACTAAATAATTGCAGTAATCGAACTAGAAACTCACACTTAACTGTAATCTGAATTTCAGTCTGCTTTGTTATTGTATTTTAGTCTTGCATATCTAAACATGGCTGACATAAAACAGGCACTCATTAGGCTTTAAGTTGATAGAAAGGAAAATAGTAAAATAAGGTTTGTTTCCTCAGCCCATGTGGCTGGGAGGATCTCTAGGGTTCAGAGATCCATCCTAGAGATCTAGCATCTTCCAAGGTGAAAAAAGGGTCTGAGACAAAATGGAGTCTCTCAAAATGTATGAGGAGGAGAAGGGAAGAAATAAGGGTGGAGTTTATTTAGCCCAGCAACAACAAACCCCTCTGATTAGTTAGCATGCAAACAAACAAGCAAATGAGTTTGTCTGTGATGGAGGCTTTCCCTCCCATATCTTGAAATTTACATCAAGATTGCTAACTAGCCTTGTGGCGCAGTGGTTAAACCTCTGTACTGCAGCCAAAACTGTGCTCATAACCCTGGGTTCAATCCCAGGTAGCCGGCTCAAGGTTGACTCAGCCTTCTATCCTTCTGAGGTCGGTAAAATGAGTACCCAGCTCGCTGGGGGGGGGAGG